ACAATAAGTGTAATTTTACATATTAACTGATTTTCTTAATATAAAGGATAGTAATCAAATCACATTTTGTACTTCTCCATAAATGACTTTACATGGAAGAACCAGTTTACAGATAGTGACCTAATAGCTTAGAAACAGCCTTCGGCGGTCATGTCTACATCACTGGTTATACCAGTTTACTTTCAGGTCTCTAGCACATACCAAACCACCCAACAAAACAACTGTGGTGCTGCTCTGTTTTTGAGAAAGAAGATTCTCTGTGATATATACAGTGACTTTTACAATTACATGTAAAATTCTATGAAAAAGAGAAATGTAAAGAACCTAGAGCTTCTTTTAGGTAATAATTAAATTAATATATTCTTTATAATAAGGTATAGTGATATTCTTTCATGTTGTTATAAATGCAAATGGTTTAATTTCCTCTCCACATTAAAAGCACATACAGATCAAACAAACAAAAAAAAAAAACCGCACATGTAAGTCACTCATGGTACCTAGTCATAACATTTGCCCAAAACCTGATACTTCATTTATTTTTATTTATTTATTTATTTATTTATTTATTTTGTGTGTGTGTGTGTGTGTGTGTGTGTGTGTGGCCAGCTCAGCACACCAGGGGGCGCAGCTGGCTGGCATGTGGTGCTGGGGGATCGAACTGTGGTCCCTATGCTTTGCCAAGCTTGTTCCAAGTAGGTGCCTTAGACCACTAGAGCCATCTCTCCAGCCCCCTTCATTTATTAATATAACATTTTAAATACATTTGTTCTACTTAAAAATGAAGGAAATACATTTCTCCTTTTATCCAATCAAGCAGAATTCTAAGAGAAATGATAGAACTTAAAAAATTCTGTTCTCATCATTCTTCTGCAATCTAATCAAGTCTGCATTTTTTTTTTTTTTTTTCGGAAACGGGGAATTGAATTCAGACCCTTGTGCTGACAAAGGAAGCACGTATTCCCCTGAGCAATTTCCATGTTCCCATGCCTGCGTATTTTAACAATAAACAATAATAGATTTTCTACAAAATCATGATTACAGGCTTAGAGTGTAGCTCAGTGGTAGACTGCATGCTTAGCATGTTCAAGGTCATGGATTTGGTCCCCAACACACACAAAGAAAGAAACAAAGAAAGATCATGATTTCAGTGTAATAAAGCCAATGGCCATCTCTTGAACTCACTTGAAGTTACAGACACTGCATTTCCAAATAATACTTTTAACCAGTTTCAAATAATCTCACTCATTAGCTAGCATCAGTTGAAGAATTCTTTTTTTTTTTTTTTTTTTTTTTTTTGAGAACCGGGGATTGAACTCAGGCCCTTGCACTTGCCAGGGAAGCGCTTATTCCACTGAGCCATCTCCCCGGCCCAGTTGAGGAATTCTTTTCAGTGTTCTAAGACACAATGATTGACATCAAAAAGTCAGTTAAGCACTTTTGATTTATGACTTAGAAGGAAAAAAATCAAGTATTAAAAAAGCAGTGGCTCCTGTGCTAGGGTAAATAATCCCCTTCAAGTAATGCTTCTCCGGCATTTAACTTTTCCTTCTGAGAGTTTATAAAGAAAAGGAAACCCCGAACAACATTTTTTTTTTTTTAGTTGAGATGCAAAAATTGCTTCATAAGTTCATATGTTGTAAAAGCCACAGCTTGAGAAGGAATGCAGCGAATATAATTCAGAGACAAGCCCCGGTACAGCCCCTTGCGGATCCCATGGTTCCCGTAGACATACTTCATAGTCTCCCACATGGTAAGGCACTTTTCAAATTCTGGCAGAACAGTTCCTAATTGCATTCTCCAACAAGTTACATCAAATGGGTAGGATATTGTCTGTGCTATTGCTCCAGCAACACCACCACAAAGTAAATTTATGTGAGTTTTCAAAACTAACACATTAGGATTGTCTGATGAAGGTCTGCCAAGAAGGGTAGGGGCATAGGAAAGCCCAACACCCTTTAAGGTACCAAAAGTAAAAAATGAAACACCTGCATATGGAGCCATTCCTAATATAGTTGGCATCAGGCCTCTGTAACATCCAAGGAAACCGCCTTCCTTTGCATAAATGGGTTTGAAGGCATGAATAATTCCTGTGTAGGTGTGCTCCCCTTTCACCTGGAATGCTAGGCGCACCCTGACCACATCAAGAGGGTAGGTACAGATAACTGCCGTCATGCCTGCCAAGGATCCAGCCATTAATCTGTGCACATGACCAGAAATTCCCAGCTTTGTGGTAATCAACTCTGGCCAGGAAGGGGCGCAGCCAGTGGAAGTCTCGCCGGGTGGTGGGCCCTCCGACCCCCGCCGCCTGCGGCATTGCAGGAGGGTGATCGGCCGCTGCCAAGGCCGCTGCCACAGCCACCATGACGAGGCCACGTCGGGAGACTTGGGTGCCAGCTTACAAAGCACGGGCGAGGACCATAACCGGGGTGAGCAGCATCAGGGCCAGCTGCCGAGCGGGCGGGGCCGAATGTCGCGCGCCCGTTTTAGGTTTTCATATTGATCACATTCATCATAGAGAATTTGTACCTGTACATCATAGAACTTGACTCTTTTTGTCCCCATTCCTCTCTCCTTTCAACCCATCCTTCCGTCCCCATTTGCAAAAGCTTTGTTTCCATTTTTTCCTTCTTTTCTTACTGGTGTAGTTTAATACATTCGTATTTGTATCTATATTTTTCTTCTTTTTTTGCATTTATTTATTTTAAAATGTTTTTACAGTTTAATAGTTTTCTTGATGAACATAGTCATGAGAGTTGTTCAGCAGTATTCAAGTTATAGTTTTTCTGATTGATCGGTAGTCTTCAATAAGTGTAAGAAGTCACTGTATGAAACATCTGTCAAACTAGTAAGATTGCACTGATGCATCCATCATTTTCAGGATTGTTGGTTACCTGGGCATACTTACCCCAAATAACCTTGCCTCCTTGTGTCACAAGGCCCAGCTTGCTCACGTACACCTCAATCACTGTTCCTTTAGTAATAACACCCAAAGTTGTGTATAGTAGTGATGAAGGATTCTTTTTCACATTAAGTATTGGCAGGCAAAAGGTGACTTTCAGTTCAGGATGTGTTACATGGATCTTCTTAAAACATAAGCCCATTGGCCTAATGAGTATTCCATATTTAGGTGGTTTTCTTGTAAAGTCATCTCCAACAAAGCAGACTTTAGTAACCATCCTCTTCCATACCTTCTTTTTTCTCTTTCTAGTTTGAATAACTTTTAATACTCCCATTTCTCCTTGGGCACGAACTTTGGGCAGAGGAACTTCCCATTTACCCACCTTTTCTTTTCATTTTTGTTTAATCATGTTGGAAGGTACTTTTGCATGAGACTGTCCTTCTCTGTCCAGCAGGGAGGCAGGTCCTGCTCCTTGTGGAGTCTTTTCATCATTCTTTTGTTTGGTGTTTCTCTTTTCATGCATCTTGGTAGTCTTCTTCATTAGTATTTTCTCTGCATGGCGCTGTTTGTGGTACAGCTTAGCCTTCAGGCCCATCATTTTTTTTGGCCTTCTTCGAATGTTAATGAGCCTCTTGATTTTCCTTCTTTCTCTTTTTCCCATTGTAATCCAAGTGGTACCCATAGCGTTTATGGTGTAACTCAATATATTCATTCCGTGGCATGATGACAGCTGCAGACCCACTGCAGGAGGCCTCAGGTATGCAAAGAAAAGTCCTAACTTTGGGGTGTCCTAGACGCAGGAGCTGCCTCCACACAGCCTTTTTTTTTTTTTTTTTTACTTTTAAGACCATGTAATAGAAATATTTATTGCTCATGTCACTGATCTGCGATCTGATGCTACTGTTCACCACATTTTACACATAGGAACCCTTCTCTTATATATGTGTGTATATATGTTAGCATGTGTATTTTTTTAAGGTATGTGGAGCTGATTAAGTATAGTTGTGAAGGCTTGAGAGCCTTGACTTCTGAAACATACATAAATAAAAATGCTTCAAGATATGCTTCACACATTCACAATAAAGCCATAATCTGAAAGTCACAGCGTGACTGCCCCATGTGTGACTATCACTTCCACTGTTAGTGGCGCAAGCTGCCAGTGGAAGTCATGCATGCGCCACCTCTTCAAGCTGGGGACTGTATGATCAATAAACATGGTAACAGTGATAGTAATTGCAGCTATCATTACAAGCACTTACTAATTAAAAGCATAAAACTGTTTAAAAGTGATCAGTAACACTAACAATTCTGCCTGTTATAATAGTTCACATAGCAATTTCAAATGCTTTATATTATTAATTTCTCACAGGAACTCTGAAAGGTAGAATAGTTTTATTTCAGTATGTCAGATGAGAATGAAATGAAGATTTTTGCTAAAAATTGTGTAGCTTGTAAACTGTAGAGCCAGACTTGGACTTAATTTACTATGCATGTCTATACATGAGAATAATAATGAGCAAGTTATGTGTTTCTGGTTACCAGCGGTTCTTAGCCAAGGTGATTTTGTTTCTAGGGGACATTTGACAGTCTTTGGGGACATTTTTGGCTGTCTCTAGTGGTGAGGGGCATCTTACTGGCGACTAAGGAAGAGGCCAGAAAGTTAGTTACCAGTCTGTAATATATGGTAAGTTCTTCATAGCAGAGAGCTACTCCACCCACAGTATTTGAAGTACTGAGGTTGAGAAGTGATCACCAATGATGTGGAACACAGACTGAAGTTCTGCTTTGTGAGATTTTCCTGATAAACATCAGTTTTACTCCAAACTTCAGTTTGTCTAACTCTTCAGTTTCTCTTAGATTCAAGCTTTAAAACTCTGCAATGACCTCCTATCAAAGTTTATAGACCAAGGGGCCGGGGAGATAGCTCAGTAGAATAAGTACTTGCCTGGCAAGTGCAAGGGCCTGAGTTCAATCCCCGGTTCGGGAAAAAAAAAGTTTATAGATCAAATCTAGAAAAGGGGAACACATGATGAAATGGAAGTTTGGAGTGAAAAGAAACTCCCACCAAAGGCCTTACTCTTAACATTCTTTTCCTTGTTAGGTTGTTTCCCGGGGGGTGTGCATTGGGTGTCGGTTGGAAAACAAGACAAATCTGGACTTCTGATGAAACTGCAGAATCTTTGCACACGTTTGGATCAGGATGAGAGTTTCTCCCAGAGGATTCCTCTTAATATTGAAGAGGCCAAAGACAGACTCCGCATTCTGATGCTGCGCAAGCACCCAAGGTACAGGTGTCAGATTGAGTAGGTGCAGGAGACTTTCCAGTGGACATCCTGCTGTTCTGTAGAGGGGCAAAGAAGAGCTGTTACTTTCCTGCTCCTGCTCTCTCTCGTATTAAAAAAAGTACTAGCTACTGCTTGCCCTGACATTGTCACTTCTTTCCTTTTTTCACTCTGCTCACCACATTGTCTCCTAAGTGCTGTTGTAGGCTCTCAAGATGGATAACTCATGTAGGTGAGGTGACACGTGGTCCTTATTAGAATAGTGCGTACTTCCTACTTTGAGTCCACTGTTTCTGATGCATTAACATAGAACAAGAAAGAGAATAAAAGTTGGTGAAAGACAGCAAGGATTTTTTTTTTTTTTTTTAATGTATGGACTCATAGTGATCCTCCTGTTTTCAGCCTCCTCAGTGCTGGGAGTACAGATGTGCACCACAATGCCTGGTCCTGATCCAGATGTGGCTGGTTCAGTGTGCCCACGGGTGGGGCCAGCATGGCATGTGGTGCTAGGAATTGAACTCTGGTCCCTGCACTTGCTTAAAAAGGCACTTACCCCATGGAGCTATCTCGCTGGCTCAGGAAGGATTTTTTTTGTGTGTCCAGCTCAGTCCATGCTGGGAGTGGGACTGGCACGGCGTGTGTCCGGGATCGAACCATGGTCCCTGTGCTTGTCTAAGCAGGAGCTTTAGACTGCTGAGCTATCTCACCAGCACAAAAGAAGGATTTTTAATGAGCCCATTCTGTGAGGTTGTGTTAGTTTTTAGAGGTATCCATATGACTTCTGTATATTTCAAGAGTTTGGGTTTTCAATACTTGATTAATTTAGTAATTATAATTTTATGTAAGGCTCTATTATCAACTCAGTTTTCATTAGCTAAAGGGAGATACAGCTTAGTTGCTGCTTATTTTAAGAATATAATCATATTTACAACCTGTGAAGCAGCCAAGTAGCTTGCCCTGAGCAGCTAAGCCCACTGAGGCTTTAGGGATCATCTGAGAACGCTGCCCTTAGCAGCTGGGCTCTGGGAGGCTACAGGATGGCAGCCCAAATCCTCAGACACTGGTGAGCATTTCCTCTGTGCCCACTGATGTGCCTCCAGCTGGCTGTCAGACCCTGGCAGGCACCCTGCTCTCTGCCTCTTCTGTCATTCATTCAGAGCCTTGCTCGCCCTGGTCTGGTGCAGCCCTTAGAAACTGACAGGTACTGTGTCCCTGTTGCTGTTCGCTGTGCTTTGCCTGAACAGGACCATCAGAGTGGCTCCACCCCACATGACTCTTTTTTTTTTTTTGTGGTATTGGGGATTGAACTCAGGACCTTGCACTTACTAAGCAAGCGCTTAGTCTACTGAGCTATCTCCCCAGCCCTCCCATGTGACTCTTGAAAGGTGCACTTGGAGCTGGACATGCCAGCTGCAGACCTGCTGGGGAATCTGCCCCACTTAAGAGCACTACCTCCCAGCTGGTGGAGCAGCTTGGTCGCTGAAGTACCCATAATCATTGATCCTGACTGCAGCTAAGAGGCCATGTAGATGCTGAGCAGTTGTGCCCATGTGGAGCCAAAGTCAGCATGGCCCGCAGAGCTGACACTGCAGGACACACTGTGAGGGAACTTTTATTACTAAAGCCACTAGGGGCACTGATCCATCAGATGTACAGACATCAACATAGGGACACAAAAACATAAAAAAACAAGGTAACTGTATCATTTCCTCTGAAATCAGGAACAGGACAAGGATGTGTGCTTCCACCCTGATGCAGTAGCCTACTGGAAGTCTTTTTTTTTTTAAATATTTATTTATTTATTTTGTGTCTGTGTGTGGCCAGCTCAGCCCACCAGGGGGCGGGGCTGGCTGGCATGTGGTGCTGGGGGATTGAACCGCGGTCCCTGTGCTTTGCTTAGCTTAGCTTGTTCTAAGTAGGTGCTTTAGACCACTGAGCCATCTCACCAGCCCCCTGGAAGAATGAATTTCTGACACTTGTATAATGTACTCTCTTCTTTTTTTGTGTGACAGTTAATTTTTTTTTGGAACTGATGACAGTTAATTTTAATTTTAATTTACTGATGACAGTAATTTTGTTTTTCTTACCAGGGATCAAACTTAGCACCTTTCACTTGCTAGGCAGGTGCTTAGGCCACTGAGCTATCTCTCCAGCCTTTATTATGTTCTGATTTGGGGTGTGAAGAAGGAAAGTCTAGTTGATTTTCTTGAATCAGCATTTGGAAAGGGAATATAGCAATGGATAGAGGGAGAATCATAGCTAGAAGTTTGTTCTTTTATTTGATAGATTCAAAAAAATACTGGTAGCCAGGGATATAGCTCAGCAGATTAAACGCCTGCCTGACGAGTGCACAGTCCTGACTTTAACCCCTAGTACAGAAAAAAAAAAAAAAAAGTCTATTAAAAAATACTGGTAGGTTTATTTTTAAAGGAAACTAAAAATAACTGTGAGTAGTGATTCTTTATGCTTATTTTTAAAGGTCTCTGTTGATTTTGGATGATATTTGGGATCCTTGGGTGTTAAAAGCTTTTGACAATCAGTGTCAGATTCTTCTTACAACCAGAGATAAGAGTGTTACGGATTCAGTAATGGGTAAGGATGATTAATTTATATTTTAGTTCCTTTATCTAGAAAGGTATTAATTATTTTATTCAAGGGCATCTGAATAAGTGGCATACCAAATTATTTCCTATGGTTTGTGATTTTATTGCAGGTCCTAAATATGTAGTCCCTGTGGAGAGTGGCCTTGGAAAAGAAAAAGGACTTGAAATTTTATCACTTTTTGTTAATAAGAAGAAAGCAGATTTGCCAGAAGAAGCTCACAGTATTATAAAAGAATGCAAAGGTATAGTTGTTTATTTTACATATGAAGGAGGCCAGCCTGGGTACCCTAGGGAGACCTTGTTTCAAAATTAAAAAAGAAGGGCTGGGCATGTGGTTTAGTCTGAAGACCCTGGGTACAGTCCCCAGAACCTCTGGGGCCCCAGAAAAGATCTCCATGCCCCCAGCCATTCAGAATATCTCTGACCTTTGGGGTTTCTGAGGGAGGCAGCCCTGCATAGGCTGAGTGAAGCACAGGCCACTGGGGTAAAGGTGATTGTACAGAGTGTGGTCTGAGGCTGCTAATGGCATGGACAAACCCAGCCCCGTGTGCTGTATGCTTTGACCTCTCCGCAGCATTCTTCCTTCGGTGGCTGTGGGGGATGCACTTTCTGTAATGGAGTTCCTGTGACTTACCCCCAGACAAAGTAAGCCAGTTTCTTTTATGGCCAGCATGAAGATGAAGGGTGGTGGTGGTGTGAATTAGTGTTTCTGTGATTCAGCTTGGGGAAGGGAAGTTTATTTCTGTGGTCCGACTTGAGAGAGTTATGAGCCAGGAAGCTTTAGTGGAAACCGAAGTACTGGCATCATAACATCACCATTGTTCATGGGATCCGTTCATTTAAGAAGTTATTCCTGACTTTTTTTTTTTTTTGGTAACAAGTAGTTTTAATTGCTTTTTTAAAAAGGAAAATAAAAAAATATTGAATTTGATTTCAAATACTCTATTGACGCTTTTAGCTTTTTGTTTTATACACACACACACATACACACACACTTACATATTTTTTTGTGTTGTTGTTGTCATTGTTGTTTGCTTGTTTTGTTTTTTCTTTTTTTTTTTTTTTTGGTACCAGGAATTGAAATCAGGAACTTGCTTTGCCACTGAGCTATATCATACCTGGCTCTTTTGTTATATTTTTGCAAACATTTATTCAGAGTTTTTGTATTTACTTTAGTTTACCTATATGGCTTTTTTTTTTTTTTTTAAATGATACTGATACTAGGGAACATTAATTACATCCCCAATCCTTTGTATTATTTTATTTTGAAACAAGATTTTGCTAGGTTGTAGAGGTTGGCCTCAAACTTGTGATCCTTCTGCTTCAGCCTTCCGAGTAGCTGAAATTACTGGTGTGTACCACTGTAATGGGCTTCACTTGCATTATTTTTTCATATACCAAAATTTAAAATTTTATGTAGTCCAATAAAAATTTGAATTTTAATAATTCACATAGTTTTGATTCTTATTTTTTTGTATATCTTATTTTTCCATATTGTTAAATATTTTTTGAAAAAATGTATCAGTATTGTGAAATACCTTTATTTACTCAACCATTTTCTACTATTGAACATTGTTTATGATTTTTCACTATTGTAAATAATTTTGTGATGAATAGCCTTAAATGGTATCTTCCTTAGTTTTAGCAATTTCATTATAATAAATAATTAAAAGTAGATCCAGCTGACTCAGGGACCAGGGTTCCAGCCCCAGCGTGCCGTGCCGGCCCCGCCAGCTGGGCATACTGAGATGGCGCTTGAGCTTGGGCGTGGTGGCCACCCCTGTATGCCACTGCTTGGGAGGCTGAAAACAGGAGAATCACTATGAGTTCCATCTATGTAGTGAGACCCTGTAGACTCTACTAAATACAAAAAAAAAGTAGATACAGCAGTTAGAAATAACTTAAGATTTTCATTAATGGGCAATGGAAATTGTTTTTACAAACTAAGTTGGTTGGTTGTTGTGGGTGTACACCTTGTAATCTCAGCACTCAGGAGAAGTACGTAGGAGGATTGTTGCACGTTGGAGGTCAGCCGGGGCTACAGAGTGAGCTCAAGGCTAGCCTAAACTATGAAGCAAGACCTTGTCTCAAAACAAAACAAACCAACAACAACAAAAAACCCACCAAACAAACAAAAACCCAAAAACAAACAAAACAAGCAACCCCCCCAAAAAAAACCCCAAAATCTTAAATTACTTGATTTCTTAACCTAGTGGAGATTTTTCAGCTAAGATAGTATTAACACAGTTGCTTATTTATTTTTTAGGCTCTCCTCTTGTAGTGTCCTTAATCGGTGCATTGCTCCGTGATTTTCCCAACCGCTGGGAGTACTACCTCAGGCAGCTTCAGAATAAGCAGTTTAAGAGAATTAGGAAGTCTTCGTCTTATGATTACGAGGCTCTAGATGAAGCCATGTCTATAAGTGTTGAAATGCTTAGAGAAGACATCAAAGACTATTACACGGACCTCTCCATCCTGCAGAAGGATGTCAAGGTGCCTACAAAGGTAACAGATGGTCCAGCAGGACTCGATCTTGAACACAGTGCTGAGGGCATTGTTGGGGAGGATAATGCAAGCATAAAGTTGGGGCCCTGCGGGAGTGATGGAGAATGGTGGGAACATCAGCTCCTTTGCAGGTGGGCTCACCAACTCGTGGTGAGCTCATGGTTCTGAGGAAATTGGAAAAGCATCCAATTTTTCTAGAGTGAGAAATAGTTGGGCTTCCTGTGCAGTGGAGACATTCTTATTTGGGGCCGTGTGTATGTGAGAGAGAGAGAGATAGTGCCCTGACTGTAGTGCTTTTTCATTTAATTCTGTGGCACATTAAATGCTTGAAATGATTCCTAGGTGTTATGTATTCTGTGGGACATGGAAACTGAAGAAGTTGAAGACATACTGCAAGAGTTCGTTAATAAGTCTCTATTATTCTGTGACCGGAACGGAAAGTCATTTTGTTATTATTTACATGATCTTCAAGTAGATTTTCTTACAGAGAAGAATCGCAGCCAACTTCAGGTACCTGCATCTCTGTAATTTAAAAATTGTTTTATAGTTTTAGACTTTCTAAGTGACGAAAACCAGTCAGTTTTTATGCATAAACATGTCATCTAGCTCCCCCTAATGTTACCATCTTATAACAGGATTTAATTAAGTAGGCCAACTTTTACCAGTAATACACTACTGACAACTAAATTTTTCCACCTTGCCCACTGATGATCTTAAATGGTCCAGATTCAATTCAGGTCTCATGTTGCATATCATCAACTCATTTCTCCAGTTGCCATTTGCCTTAATTTCCTCAAATCTATGGAAATTCCTTATTTTTTGTCTTTCATGGTGGTATTGCTATTGAACAATATCAGACAGTTATTTTGTAGTGTCCCCTGATTTGATTTTGTCAGTTATTTTTTCCTGATTAGATTAAGGTTATGCATGTTTGGCAAAAATTATTACAGAAATGATCCCATATCTTGAATGTGTCAAATTAGGGCATACTTGATATTAATGTGTCTTTTTTTTTTGCGGAACTGGGGATTGAACTCAGGCCGTTGTGCTTGTCAGGGAAGCGCTTATTCCACTGAGCCATCTCCCTGGCCCCTGATATTAATGTGTCTTATGGATAATGTACATGTTGCTTATTTCCTTAGAGTGGAATCTACCTTTTCTCCATTCTAAATGTACTATTTTTTCCTGTTGTAATTATTAAGTATCTTTGGAAGGTTGCATTTTTAATAGCTTTGGAAGCTGGAATTACTGTGATGTATATGTTGTAGAACTACCTGTATCCTCTGAAATGGTCAGTTTTGGTTTTAGGATCTACATAAGAAGATGATCACTCAGTTCCAGAGGTACCACCAGCCTCATACCCTATCCCCGGATCAGGAAGACTGCATGTATTGGTACAACTTTCTGGCCTATCACATGGCCAGTGCGAACATGCACAAAGTAAGTTGGCACATTTAAAATATTCTTTTATCTTTCCCTTTTCCATATATTTGGAAAACATTTAAATATGTTGCTTTCTATTGAAGGTGTAGCTTTTACATAAATTGTACCCTTTTTTAAAATTTTGCTTTCATGTTGTGTTCATAAACATGTTTTGTTCTATGATCAGACATTTCTTTTATTAGTAAAAATAGGGTTATATCTTATGTTTTATTTAGTCTGTAGTGATTTAAAAAGATCTCTTAGTGGGCCAGCCTCATAACTCAGTGGGCTAAAGTGCCTGCTTAAGCAGAGCATAGTGTCCGGGGTTCAATCCCCGGCATGCCATGCCAGCCTTGCTCCCGGGGCGCACTGAGACAACGATTGAGACTGAGTGTGGTGGCAAGCACCTGTAATCCCAGCACTTGGGAGGCTGTACACAGGAGAATCTCTACAAGTCTGATCTACGTAGTGAGACCCTGAACACCCTGTAGAACCTGCGTTAAGTACAGAAAAACTCTGTTAGTGATTGTAATAACCATGTAAAAATGGAGTCTCTTTTTATTAGTAGCTTTCCTTTATGAGGAATATGGATTTGTTTTTAAGCTTTAAAAGAAATGGAAGGGGGAAACATGTTCATTGAATTGTTACTGTGTGCTTGTTACTGACTAGCATTGTTCTTCATTATGAAAATATGGCACAGCACAAAGTCTCTGCTGTCGTCAAGCTCATATTCCTGGGGAAGACAGTATACAAATTTGTGGTATGTCAGTGGATTGTTATATGTTCAAGACAATGCATGGAAGAAAAAGAAAGTGATAATGTGGGTGGAATCATCACAAATTCTGATAGATTTGATGTGCATTATGATGGGGAAGAACCGGAGTAGAAAGAGTGGAGCTGCCATCACGTGACATGGGCGGCCTGAGAAAACAGGTCTCCTCCCCCACCTTGCTGGGAAGGAAAGCGCAGGAACTCCTCCTGAGTGTATTAAGTCTGATACACTCACTAAGACATCTCCTTGGAAATATTGAGTAGTTATGTAAATATGTAACTCCTATTCATGGACAAAAGATAAGAATTAGGAATCAGAACATAGATGACATTTGAGTTCATGACTACTTGCTACTCAAAATTTTAATGTTTTTGAGAACTATATATATTTTCAGTAATTTTTCTATGTTTAAAAAAGTTCTATCTCAGTGTGTTGTGGTAGCCTGCTTTTCACCTAGCAAAATGTATTTATGTTTAATAATCTACCTCTGATAGCATTTCAGTAAATGTCTGTGAATCAGACTGTCATTACAGGGCATTTAGGCTGTTTCTAGTTTTGGGGCATTATGACATTGTAATGAGTACTCTGGGTCATCTTTATACTTCTACTGTTTCCTTGGAAGATTCTTAGAAGTGGAAGCATTGAATCAATGCAGAGTTTTGAAGCTATTGCTATATATGATAAATGTGGCAGGATTCAGTTTCTTAGAACTTTTTTAATTTTAAATGATTATAATTAGCAAAATATAGAAAAACATTTACAAAGAAGAAAGTGAAGATCATACTCATTGCTAATGATTTTATTAAGTTTTCTATGTCATTTTCCTTAAACTTTAAAACCAAGTGGTATTACAGAAATCATTACTTTAAAATTTTTTTTATTAGTATATATTTACATAATGGTCACACTCACCATAGGGAATTTGTACCTGCACGTGATATAACTTAATTCTTTTTTTTTCATTTTGTTCTCCTTCCTTCTTTTTTTTTTTTTTTTTTTTTTTTTTTTTTTTTTTTTTTTTTTTTTGGCGGAACTGGGGATTGAACTCAGACCCTTGTGCTTGCCAGGAAAGTGCTTATTCTACTGAGCCATCT